GAGCTGGTGCACCCCAGGGCATGTGAGCCCTGTGGCTCGCCTGAGCCCCCTGCTGGTCTCTTCAGGCCAGTGGGAGGCCCTTGAAGGGGTGTGTGTGGCTCAAGGACTGTGTTTGCAGAGTGGCCATCAGTCTTGAGACTCTTGGAATTATTCCTTGATCTGTGATTGCAAGTGTAAGGGAAAGGTTTGTATTGCATCAAAACTACAAGATTGCACTGTGGAGACCCTGGCACTCTATGGGTATGTATCATAAATATTAACCAGTGTTCCAATAAGGGGTTCAATAATTTTACAGGTAAAAGGCACAAAGCATAAATATATGTAGGAGGAACTCCCCATATAAAAGGTTTAGAGAGGGACTGGCATTGTGGTACAGCAGTTTAAGCCTCTGTTTATGACAATGATATTCCATATTGAGTGCCTGTTCAAGTCCTAGCTACTCCCTCCACTTCTGATCCATCGTCCTGCTGATATGCCTGGGAAAGCAGTGGAAGCTGGCCCAAGTACTTTGCTCCCTGCACCCATGTGGGAGTCCTAGGTGGAGTTCCTAGCTTCTGGCTTCAGCCTGGCCCAACCTTGGCAGTTGCACCATTTGGAGAGCGAACCAGAGGATAGAAGACCTCTCTCTCTGTAACTTTGCTTTTAAAATGAATAAATATTTAAAAAAAAAGTTCACAGAACAAAAACTTGTTTTAAAGTTATACATATGTTAGACAGGTACACATTTAACTTGGGTACTTCGAAAGCTCATAGGAAATGAAATTAAAAATTTGCTTGATGCAAAAAATATTTTTGTAAAAAAAATTTATTCTGAAAGTCAGAGTTATAGAGAGAGAGAGAGAGGGAGAGTCTTCCCTCTGCTGTTTCATTCCCAAAAATGGCTGCAACAGCCATCGTTGGCCCAGGTTGAAGTCAGGAGCTTCATCTGGTTTCCCACGTGGGTGGCAGGATCCCAAACACTTGGGCCATCTGCTGCTGCTTTTCCTAGGCCAGTAGCACAGAGCTGTATCAGAAGTGGAGCAACCGGGACATGAACCAGTGCCCATATGGGATGCCAGTGTCATAGGCAGTGGCTTTACCCACGATGACACGATGCCTGCACTGGTGCAAAAAAAATCTTGAAACCCATGCATAGTATTTTTTTATAATACACATTTTCTATGAACTAATAGAAGACATCTCATATATGTGCCTGTTATAGCTTTCAAATTTTTTAAAAAAATATTTATTTACTTGAGAGGTAGAGTTACAGACAGAGAGGGAGAGACAGAGAGACAGAGAGGTCTTCTGTCTGCTGGTTCACTCCCCAGATGACCACAACGGCCAGAGCTGAGCTGGTCCGAAGCCAAGATCCAGGAGCTTCTTTCAGGTCTCCCATGTGGGTGCTGGGGCCCAAGCACTTGGACCATCTTCCACTGCTTTCCCAGGCCATAGCAGAGAGCTGGGTTGGAAGTGGAACAGCCAGGACTGGCACCTATATGGGATGCAGACGCCGCAGGTGGAGGATTAACTGACTGTGCCACAGCGCTGGCCCCTTCAGATAGGTTTTCACACACAGACACACACAGCCCCCTCCTTGTCTGGGGCCCAGCACTGAGGATCCGTGGGTGACATCCGGCCATACATCCTTTTCCAGATCAGAAATCACAGCGGCTTAAATTCTGGGACCCAGCTTTGCTCCTGCACAACACTTCTATTCCGTCTGTTCACACCTTGCATTTCTTTGCTTTTAGTGTCTTACAGTTTTAGCTTGGCCCACGGTTGATAACGCCGTGGTCAGAATCCGTGCTAAGCCTTTCAGCCGAAACTGCCATCTTCCGGTAATTCGCCAAGATGGCTAACACAAAGCAGAGAAGCACCATGCTCTCTTGGACTTTTGGAAGACATGGGGTCATCCCTTTGGCCACATGCATACAAGGGTGGTATTGTAGACATCAGGGGCACGGGGACTGCTCGAAGAGGAAGGCCCCATACATGTTACCAAGGTAAAACTGGAGGAGTCTACAGTTACCCAGCATGCCGTTGGCACGGTTGTCAAGCACGTTGAGGACCAAATTCTTGCTGAGAGAATTCATGTGCACACTGAGCATACTAAGAGCTGAGGGAGGCAGCAGGAAATGATGGAAGCCAAACACAGACGCCTGGGCGCCACACCCAGAGCAGCCCTCTGTCAGCCTGAGCTGCTGGAAGCCAATTCCCTCTGAATTCATGGTGTAATCAGTGTGATTAATAAATAAATAAAAAACAGACCTCTGGACTACTAAAAAACAAAGTGCTGCACATGCGCAGTGGCTGAGGCCAGGAGTGGACCACACCTCCTCTGTCTCCTCTTAGGGTTTTTGTTCCCGATGTCTCCTATCAATCCCCGCTGTGCTTTTGATTGTCCACATTCACCTCTCTCTGGGTCCTTTGCACTCCAGCTCTGCTTTGATGCAGCCCAGACCGCGGAAGCTCAGGGCCCTGGGTGAAGCAAGACCTTGTTAAGGAAACTTCTCCCAAGCAGCAAGGCAAACAATGGAAGTACAAATAATCCCTTCCTGCCCGAAACCTGTTGAACAGTAAACAGGGCTTAAGATCAGGACTGCTGGACACCACAGCCCCAAAGTCAACAGTGCTCCAGGATGTAGGCGCTAGCAGGCGTGTTCACCTGCCCCAGGGACTTCCGACCTCCACTGTTAGGTGCCAGTGGGCCGACAGACACTGGGAGCCCAGACAGACCTCGGTCACGGCTGGAGCAGGTCCTTGCACAGTGTAAATGCAGTGACCCACATTCAGACACGGGGTTTGGTTGTGTGGATCCCGGCTGAGGCAGTTGGCTGGCAGGAGCTTCAGCCTCACCCTCGTGCTTCTGAAGCCCGCCCTGGCCATGAAGAACATCTTCCTACTGCTGCCCCCTCTTGATCTTTTTGTTTTTCCCCTTTTCCTGTTGTTCTTGTCACCGAATCTATCGTCACCTGGCCTCTCAGGGTACATCTGCCCATCCACGCTGACCGCACCTCCCCTGCCCAGCCCCTGACGTCCTCCATCCGGACCCCTCTCGCCAACAGACTCTCATTCCGGGCGAGCCCGTGTGCGTGCACCACGGTTTGCGGGTTCCCCAACCAGAGCAAAGCCAGTGCTGTCCATGGTGGCTAGGACACGAAGGGGATGGGCAGTGGGCGAGAAGCCTGGCTGATGACCAGGGCCAGGCAGGGCAGGAGTGAGAAGGGAACACAGGGCTTCTGGAGGGTTCAGGCCACTCTGCCCAACACAGGAGGCAGGCTGGGGCCCCCAGGCAGTCCTGCAGGGACAGGGGCTCAGGAGGGGATGGCCTGGGAGGGCTGTGACAATACACACTCCCCCAGAGTCCTGATGCCTGAAAGCTATGCCCCGGAGCCACACCTCTGCCTCAGGTCTTTGTGAGTAGGAAAGTCGTGGGTAGGCTCTGCTGGCCAGTGCCAGCTCCAGTGTGAAATCCTGATCCTGCTGATGGAGGTCAAACCACGCACAAGGGGTATCCAAGGCAGGGCCAGCACCCCCAGGCCTGGCTCCCATGGCGTCTTTTTACCAGGCTGGGGACCCCACTTGTCCCTCCCCCCCACTTTTCTTTTCCCTGTAAGCTCCAGTTCAGGCCCCTCTCCAGGACCGGGCTTGTGCCCCAGGTGAGGTTCCAACTCTGTCTACACCTGTAAGATCAGGTATGGCCACGTGTGGCCCTGTTAAATAAAACTGGGTACGAGTAGGAATTTAGATCCTCAGTCACATGAGCCAGTGCCCTAGCCCTGCGTCGAATGGGACTTCCGCGGGCTGACCACCCTCCAGGGGTCGCGCACCGGGCAGGCCTCTCAGTCCCTGACCAGCGAGGCTGGGGGCCACCGTCCCCACCTCCGTCCTGCGGGGAGGGGCGCGAGAGGCCTGGGGCTCCAGGTGGGGTCAGGTAGGTGGGGGTGGCGGTGGGATCGGGTCGCACGGGGGCCTGCGGGGAACAGGATGGGGAGGTGGGCGGGCTCGGAGATGGGCAGGGGCAGGTGGCGCGCGTGGGGTGTGCAGCGAGGGTCGGCCAGGGTTTACTGGGGTGTCCCTGACTCCCGCAGGGGGCGAGGGCCTGGAAGACGGTGCGGGAAGGGTTGGGGGCGGAGTTCCCGGGCCCCTTCCCGGACCCTGCCCGGCGCGGTGGGCAGTGGGCGTGCCCGGGCCGAGCGGGAACGGCAGGGGGCGTGCCCGGGGGCGGAGCAGCGTCGGGGGCGGGGCCAGCCTCCGGCGGGGGCGGGGCCGGGAGGCGCTGTCCGGTGCTGAAGCCCGGCCCGGCGCCGCCGCAGGAGCGCGGAGAGGCGCGGCGGGAGGAGCTGGCGGCGCCGCCTCGCTCGCCTCTGGCTCCCGCTGCTCCCGCCGCCCGCGGAGCGGCCATGGACTGAGCGCCGCTGGACGGGCCGCGGGGATGGGGCTGCCGCTCCCGCCGCCGCCGCTGCGCCTGCTGCTGCTGTTGCTCCTGCTGCCGCGCGCCCTGCCCGCCGCCCCCGCCCCGCGAGGTCGGCAGCTCTCGGGGCGCCTCGGTGAGTGAGTGGGGGGCGCCTCGGCGGGTGGGTGGGGGAGCGGGGGTCGTCAGGTTCCTCGGGCTCCGGGCCTCGCCGCGTGCTTCGCCGTCCTCGCCAGCCACGCCAGCCGAGCAGGTCTCGCCGCGTCCCTGCCTCAGTTTCCTCCCCCAGCGGCGGCCGCACCCCCTCCTCCGGTGCTGGGCCTCCAGCGCCCGCGGCGCCCCGCCACGCGGGCCATCCCCGCGAGGCCTCGGTCACCCGCGGGCCGCGCCGGGCGCCCTGCGCCCGAAGCAGACCTGGGCGCGGGCTGGGGGGAGCGCGCCCCGTGCGCCCGGGGCGTGGGCGCGCCCCCCGCGCGTGTTCGTGCCGCGTGCGCTGCTAGGCAGGCCGGGCCGGCCCTTCCCTGCGCCCCAGGCCCGGCCCCGCCTGCTCCCGCCGCGCCTCGGCCGCCACCTGCCTCTCCCCACGCGGACTCCGGGGCCAGCGCCGTGGAAACCACACGGACATTTTCCTTCCGTGCCAGCCGCTGAGGAGAAGGAAGGGAGCGAGAACAGAATTAGCGTCCTCCGCCCTCCATGCTAATCCTATTTGTTAAGGAGATTTGCCATAAAGCCAATGCTTCCAGGCGGCTTCCATGGCCGAATTACCACACCGCACAGCTCCGAACAGTGGGAGTGAGAGAGGCGACTGCAGGTCCGAGGCCGCGGAGAGGGGTCCCCGCCCGGGCACCGCCTGGGCGCTGCTCCGGCTCCGCTCTCTCCTCCTGCCTCTCGGGCCCTCTGGCCCCAGCGGTGCTTTATCCGTCAAAACCCCGAACAAAAACTGTAGGCAACAAGGAGGCTGGACACAGATGCTTAGACCCCCGGGCCAGTGTTCCCTGCTCTGCTCCTCGCTTCCTTGTGCCCTGGCTTGGCTCACACTTGCCTGCACGCTCTGTCCTGGTGGGTAAGGTGGTCCAGTTGGGGGGTGGGAGGGTCGGTGGGGAGGGCAGAATTGCAGGAAGTGGGAGAGGAGGTCCTTGCCGGCTGCTGTAGCGAGTTGGGGGCAGTATGTGCTGACCCTCACCCCCAGAGCCACTGTGCCCCTGAGGCCAGTACCCGGCCCCCAGCCTGCATTCTGTACTGAGCACCCAGGTCATCCTGACCTGGTGGGTCCTGCTTGGGCAGGCTTGGGGGGACTCAGCTGGTACCTCCCTCCGTTGCACAGGCTCTCTCTTGCTGGGGCTCTATTCCTTCCTGCTGCTGGCCTGAACTGGCCTGTCACCTCATGGAGCAGCTGTCTGCCCAGCTGGCCAGACACCGCGTGCACAGGGGCTGGACACAGGTCAGGGAGGTCCAGGGCCCACTGACACCGGCCTGCTCAGTGACCCAGGGAAGGTAGAGTCTTAGGGCACGTGCCGCTGGCTGGTCCCCAGCTGCTCTCTTTGCCATTGTATTTAGCAGTTCATAGCATTTTGCCAGAATCGCAGGGGAAGGCGGAAGGGGGAGGTGACAGCAAAAGAAAAAGCCAAGATAAAAGTGTAAGCAGGGCCGGAAGGTGCCTGTCCGTATGGGCAGTGCTGCCGGGTGCAACAACAAGATTTTGGCTACAAGCAAAGTGGTCAAAAAGAGGCGCCGTATACCCTGTGTTCGGCTCTGATAATGGTCATGGGGGAGACTTACGGACACAATCTTCTGGGACAACATTAAGAACCCAGACCCCATTGGAATTGTTTTAAGGACTCAGGGTGACAGATGTAACCCGCTACATTCCTCATATACTCAGGAGCAGCTCCAGGGGCATATCCAGAAAGTGAGATGTTGGTAAGACCTTCCCCAACTTGGGGTAAGCGTTAGACGCTTCTACCCACGTCCCCTCTCCCCGCCTTTCTGTCCCAGCACCCTCCTCGCTCAGAGTATTGCTACCACGTTTTTAGAATCCGATCTCCAGAAAGTAAAAGGGGAAACATGTTCACCCACGAGGGGCAGATGCTGCTTCGCTTTCTCAGCTGCCTGGATCTTGTTTGATAAGGGCCACGCCAAATAAGTCCTTGCAAGTACTCACCATGAGGCACCCTTGGAGATGCACCTACTGGCCTTAACTCTGGCCCCAGCTGTGTCCTTTGTAGGCATTATTTAGCTTTGCACATCCGACCTCAGGTTAAGGCCTGCAGAGCACACGTTTCAAGGAAGTCGAAGTTGTTACTCTTACATCAAAAAACCGTGTAGGTTGGAACTAGGAGTTACATGTCACCAAGACCTAGAGACTGATTCCTTTTGAGTAGGAAGCGTGGTGTGAGCGAGAGGGCTCGTCACACGTGGACAGGGAGGAGCTGTTGATGGAAGCCAGGGTCGACACCGGCATGTCTGAGTTTATTCTCACTGCTGCGAGCCGCGCGCCGGGAGCCTGACTGATTTCCAGATCAGCTGTCAGCAGCACCACAGGGCCGGTGGACGCCCCACCTGCTTCCTGTCCTCAAAGGACACTCTTTCCCCTTAATCACTTTAGCTTCCTGCCTTCTAACCACCCGTGCTGCTGCCTGTCTGGTGGGAGAGGCTCCCTCACTGCGTTCACTATCTGTGAGGCCATTATCAGAGCGGATCGGAGGAACACGGCACGATTCCACGTGGCCAAAATGCCACGGCTGCGTCCAGCAGGGTGGTCAGGGGCAGCCTGTGGATTTCTGCTCTCCCTTCGCCCCCTCTCTCAGCCGCCACCTCCTCTGCCTCTGTTATTTCATGCTCTTGTCCAGGGTCTAAGTACTTTTTCCTTGAACCTAACTTGAACGTGAACCTTTTGTGAAGGGCTTCAAACCCTTCTTAGGTTCCATGGAGGAGGCTGGTTTGTGAAGCTGCTGAGGCAGCCCTCATGGTGAAGGGGCAGTTAGATAAAGGACCCCCACCGCATTTGCTAAAGAAACAGGAATTTCATTTGCACAGGATAGGGTCAACCTTTCTTGCAGATTTTGCTTAGAGAGTCTAGATTCACATGTAGCCGATGCACCTGCCTGGGAGGACAAGGGATTGCTCATTTTCTTCTTTGTTTTTGCCTCCCGATCTGCCTACACATATTTTTCATTCACCAGCGAGCCCACACGGAGCTGAGAAGCAGAACAGTCAAGAGCTGGAGTCGGCTGGCTTTGTGAACTAGCTAGCGTGATTGTTTATTTTTAAATCAAAGGATCCTTGCTCCCACAAAAGCACGAATCCATCTTTGCTTCTTGGGGTCTGGAGCCTTTGATTCTGTTTGGTTGTATGGTAATGAGCCATACAATGGACCTGCCCCTTCCCCAGAGCTAAAGCCTTGCTCGTTCTTGTCCGAGAGCTGTTCTCTGCTCGCTGCTTCTTGCCTCCATCAGCCTCAGGTGCTGTTGTTCTAGGGCAGAAGCACTGGGGTGCGTGGAAAGCCCTGGGCTCCTGGCTGGAGGAGGTGCCAGACAGTGAGGATGGGCTCCCCTGTGGGACCAGATGCATTGAGTGGAACTGTGGGATGGCTCTTTTTCCCCAGACCAGAGATGGCAGTTAAATGTGTTAGCCTCGGAAGGGAAAGGCAGCGAATAAAAGGTTTTTAAATGGCTTCCTTTCCGTGCGGAGCTCAGCTGTGCTTTTTAGCATCTCGCAGCTCTTCCTTAAGAGTGGCTCTGTTTTCGCTCCGGGTCATCAAGGTCGCCGTTCAGTGGTGCCCACCAGGGTAGAGAGGGGTGGTGCTTCCCTCTGCGGTGGCGGCGGGGCCTGTCACGGCACACACGCCGGGCGTTTCTGTGTGCTGTGATGTATGTGGGTTTGCTGGGCCCTCTGGCTTCCGGAGCGCCGCGAGGCCACAGCGGGGCCACTCGGGTTGAGGTCAGGTGGTGACGTGCAAAAATCCAAGGCTGTCACCTCAAGGCCTTTTGTGTTGATGGACTCCGTGGGAACTGTTGATTCTGTTCTGTGACAGATTTATTTTACTCTGCTGTGTTCATGCTGTCGAACCTAATTCGTGGTTGCAGTGACCCGACTTTGGGTCACTTTTTTTGAGAGTTGGGGATCTGGGACGAGGAAGAGGAGTCGGGGCTGAAGGCAGTGGGGCCCTAGCCGAGCTGTCGTCAGCCAGGGTCTTGTGAAGTCCTCAGTTACTGCTGCCCTTAGCAGTATGAAAAGCTGTTTGTGACTAACCATGGCCCCGGCTAAAAATAGCTCCCTGCCTTTAGGTGGCAGATACGTAAGATACACGGCAGGGTCTGTGCAAATGTTGCTCCTTGAAGGAGTGAGGAGGGGCAAAGCCAAAGCTTACGAAACGGGCAGGAGGGGTTTTCATCCAGGCAGATCGTGGGGGGCGGAGGCCGGTGGCGGTGGAGCCCCAGTGAACTCAGAGCCCGTGTTATCGTCTCTGGCAAGATGTTCTGTTTCCCAGGGAGAGAGAGAAAGCAAACAGCTGAATTCACGGCAGATAACCCCCGCGCCCCATAAAGCACCTGGCAGCTGTTTCCACATTCGTCTAAATCGACCTTCATGAATGTAGACCCAGCGGGACTTATTTTTTGCTTTCTTAATCTTGCTTGATAGGAGGCCAGAAAGCCTGAGAAACACAGAACAGTCTACTTTGTTGCTGCTTAGAAACGGCGTGGCAACAGTTTGTCCAAGGCAGGGCCTTTCTCTGGCTCGCTCTTCGTTCTTGCTATCTCTGACAACTCTTTAAACATCAGGGCGGGAAGCAGAAACGGGAACACCTGCTTCTTCATACAGGAGGCACCTTTGTTTGGTTTGCTCGTCTGCCACAGGGGGCCCGTACGTGGGTGACTCGGGGCTGTGGCCTTTGTCTTCGATGGCCTCTGAAGGCAGGTGGGGAGGTGGTTGGTGTTGTCTGAGGATTCCAGGGTGTCAGTCTCACCTGTGCAGGGGGGGAGCGGGCGGGTCACGGTTGCTCTCTCTGCTCCCTCCCCGTAGTACCGTCTGCGGTTCAGCAAACAGGGGCACTTCCTTGTGTGCTTGGGGCAGCTCCTGGCTCCTCTGAGGGCAGTCCAAGGGCGTGGCAGGTGGACAAACTCATATATGCAACAGATGCAGAGCTTGCTTTTTAAAAATTTAAAGAATTATCATACAGTAAAACGGACCTTTTCCTTTTGGTTTTCTCTTCTGTGTATAGACTTGGGTGGACACCTCTGCTACTGGGATCCAGAATATCTCCATCACCCCAAAATTCTTTGTAGTGAAAAATCCTTCCCCATCCCCTCACCCCTGGCAACCCCTGGTCTCAGCCCCCTAGGCTTTCTAAGTGTGGTTGTGTGTACTCCTCAGAATAATTGGCAAGCATTTCTATGCCCATTTTACAGGTGGAAAGACTGAGGCTTAGATGGTTAAGGAATCTACCATAGGATACCCGGTGGGGAAAAGCTGATACAGGGATTGGGTCCTAGGCCTCTGGCCTTCACAAGCTCCCAAGATGGGGGGAGGGGTGGCTCTTGTGCAGGTCCCAAGGGCAGCAGAAGACATCCTCTTTGCTCCACAAGCCTTTTGCCTGCCTGCCGTGTCACCTGTCTTCCTCTAAGGAGCTCGGTACCTGTGGGGGTGAGGGGTTTGGTCAGCGGTTGTCACCCCTGGGGACCCCTGCCTATTTCGAGTCCTAGCTCTTCCACTTCCAATCCCGGGTTCCTGCGAATGTTCAACCTGGGAGGCAACAGGTGATGGGTCCCTGCCACCGCCTGGGAGACCTGGATGGAAGTGCAAGCTCCTGGCTTAGGTCTGGCCCAGGACTGGCTGTTGTAGGCATTTGGGGGGTGAACCAGTGGGTGGGAGATTTTATCTCTTTCTCTCTCTCACTTTCTCCTCTGTTTTAAAAGAAGATGCTGCAGGCTCATGGAGTCTGTTCTGGGAGGATTTTAAATGCTCTTGGGCAGTAGAGGTGGGAGGGGAGGAATTGTTGATTTTCTGGCTGTGTTGGGTGTCAGATTAAATATTTGGTCTGCGTTTCTGAGGGAATTTTG